CCTCACCTGGTATGTCAAATATGTTACTTAAAGATAAAATATGAACAATAACATTATATTTTTCAATATAGTTATTCAATATTCCATACTGTAGTAATCTATCATGAAAAAAAATGTTGCGTTTGTAGGACATAAAACAGTAATTGTTTGATGAAAAATCAAAACCACTGATTGTTATTGTATGTACCAAAACAAGTGCACATGCATATTAAAAAAAATATTGTTTAACCAAATTAGGAAAAACCTATCCATTTATAATTTAGCTATTTTTCAAAATAGAACAGGTGATGCTGTACTATTATTATTCAAGATTTATTAATTTGATAGTGCTCAAACTAGTAGCTGTGATGTATAAATCATCTTTTTTTTTATCAGAAATTGACTAGTGTTCGGGTACCATTGCTTGGGTAGTTTTATGTAGTTCATGTTATATTATAGAGGGACATTGAGATTAACATAACTTAGCTTGTGTAATATTAATTGAGAGACAATAATTTTAAAAGGAATTATTGATGATAATAGATATCCCTTTTTTTTGTATATTTTTAATTGATAATTTGTTATCGTTAATTTTAGTGCCATTTTTAATAGAAAAAATGCTATTTTCAACTTCTTCTTTAAAGCAGCTAGCCTGATTGAGTTGATATTTTATATGTATAAGTATTTGTACCTTGGGTGGACTTATCTCAGATTTGTTCATTTCATAATGATAACTTCAATTCCATAATTTTAGTGCATATTTTTATCATTTTTTTTTGGATAAAAATGTATTTCTGACCTCTTCATGAAAAGAGCCAACCTGATTGCTTTCATATTTTGTATCTACCTACATTGAATAGACCTCTATCTGATTTGTCTATTTCATGATGAAAACATTAATTCCCCAATTTCGCTTTATATCATTCAGGGATTTTTGATACAGGTCATTTAATATTTATTGAAGGACTTTGGTATTCATTGTTTCTGGATTTTTACCCTCTAATAATGCATCACTTATTCATAGGTTTTAAATTTTTCAATTTTCACTTATATGTTACACTTTCACCTACATAGACATGTAAAGGTACAATAGAACTCATTGTTTCCATGGCAATTTTATGAATATAAATCACAGTGAATATGAACAAAAGTGAAATTAAATACCAGTAAACAAATAATGCTTTTACAGTACATCAATTATACCATGGTTCAGGGACTTTTATGTAATATTCATTTAATGATGAACTTTGATCTTAATTGTGTTTGGCATTTATTTTTCTGTAATTGTTCCTTGTAAGATTTGTTCAGCTTCCAATTGTAAATGCTTTTAATTTGTGTCTACTCTCATTCTGTGTATACACCACATTTGTGAGTAACTTTTTCATGGTAGAGGACACACCCTGGGTAATAACAATTGGACTCTCTTGAGGATTTCAAAGCCAAATGATTTATAATGAACTGTTTCCCAGAAGGACTTTTTAGGTTTTACAGTAAGGTAGTAGGTGTTGGTGTTGGTGTTGGTCAAAGCATATATTTCTGTTCCATAATTTGAACAGCCTCCCCGATGGGTTTAGGAATTTTACAGTTTAGCTTGTATGCATGTAGCTTAGGTGTATGCATGCATGTATCTTTCTGTGCATTAACTTGAACATGATTTCTTGACCTGGAATGCAAATAATTGTCACATGTAACATAACTCACCCGCAAATCTGAATTTTCTATACAGGTAATACTTAGATAGTTGTTCTTT